TTTTAAAACAAAAAACAAAAAACAAAAAAACATTTTTAAGATAACTATCTCGAAAGAGAGCAAAAAATGGCTCTCCATACCCATGCCGCCAGACCCCACACCAGGCTGTTTCATCCAGGGGAATCCAGAGGGGGCGGGTGAGATCCTTCCCCACCCCAAGAGACTCAGACCCAGCAGCCAAAAAACTCCAGAACTCAACTACCACCATGCCCTCAGCCCTCTCCACATGCTTAGGCCAAGCCTCACGCATGAGTGAGCTTATTCCTGGACCAGGAATTTATTCCTGGACTGCACAGCTATATCTCATACCTCAAACCACTCATATTCAAGAGTAGTGCACCACATTTGATGGAGTTTAAAGTAAAAGGCAGCCATTCTTTGAGGAAAATAAGTTTTTACATATATATGCATATGCATATACATATATTCTATAAGGACACAAGCCTCAATCTTTAACAACATGTTAGTGATCTCTTACAGAAGAGCTAAATGGTGAAATACAACAATCTTCACCCACTTTCCTCTAAGGAAAATTTTTGGAGAATTTTCAGCAGTTTATTCATAACAAACAATGCAAAATAAATGATTTCGGTTCTGCTTTCATGCAAGGTTGGGGTTTGGAACAGAAACATTCGAAATATGGTGGCGTGAAGGTTTAATGGTGGTGAGATTGGTGTTCAAATATTAAATGTAATCAAATATTGTGAACTACTTTATAAAAATTAAATTTTAAAAAACACTTTTAAACTCTAAAAAATAAAACTTACATTACCTTACAACCAGAGTACAATTTCAATGCGGCAGGGCGTTCGCCTTACAAGCGGCCAACATGGCCGACCTGAGTTCGATTCCTCCGCCCCTCTTGGAGAGCCCGGCAAGCTACCGAGAGTATTCGATATGCCAGACACAGTAACAACAAAGTCTCCAATGGAGACATTACTGGGCCTGCTCGAGCAAATCGACAATCAACGGGAGGGCCTTTACCTTTACCTTTAACCTTTAGAAATGTACAAGGTCCAAATTTATCAAAATTGAAATCCTTTAATTGTTTAATTTAAACAAGGTGAAATTCTCTAGCTCATTTTACTATTCTTTTTTGTTTTGCTTTTTGGGTCACATCTGGCGATGCACAGGGGTTACTCCTAGGTCTGCACTCAGTAATTACTCCTGGCAGTGCTCAGGGGACCATATGGGATGATGGGAATCGAACCTGGGTCGGCCGCATGCAAGGCAAATACCATACCCGCTGTGCTATCGCTGCAGCCCCCTCTAGCTCACTTTAACTATGTATATAATAATTACCATTTGGGATCAGAAGGGGCAGAAAATAACATCACTATCACTATCACTATCACCCGGTTGTTCATCGATTTGCTCAAGCGGGCGCCAGTAACATCTTCATTAGTCCCTGTCACGTGCTAGTGTAGGCCGATGACATATTGGGGGATCTATCAGGGGAATGAGGATCATCATTGTTACTATTTTTGGTATATCGAATATGCCACAGGTAGCTTGCCAGGCTCTGCTGTGGGGGCAGGATAATCTGAAGAAAATAACATGTCATTTGAAAAAACATAATTAAAAATTTGTTTTTCTAGACAAAATTAAAATAAACATTTGCAGCATAGTATTATTAAAGTCCTTGGCATCAGGTGGGCAATACAAACTGTAACTTAAAGTAAGCATAATATATTGTTTCCCAGAATATAAGACAATAAGCACATGTCCTGAGAAGAGCCACTTAACTGTTCAAAGGAAAACTTAGTCTTTCTTTTTATTGTTTGACTTTTTAATAGTTTTTAAATTTTTTAAATTTTATTGAATCACCGTGAGATAGTTACAAGCTTTCGTGTTTGGATTACAATCAATCACACAATGATCAAACACCCATCCCTCACCAGTGCACATTCCCCACCACCAATATCCCTGGTATACCCCCCCTTTCCTACCCTCCCCCTGCCTCCCTGGCAGACAATATTCCCCATACTCTTTCTAATTGGGGGGCATTATGGTTTGCAATGCAGATACTTAGAGGTTATCCTGTTTGGTCCTTTATCTGCTTTCAGCACACATCTCCCATCCAGACCGATTCCTCAAGCCATCATTTTCTTAGTGATCCCATCTCTATACTAGCTGCCTTCTCCCCTTTGCTCATGAGGCAAGACTTAGTCTTTAAGGAATAAGTAGAAACCAGTTATGTCAATTGAGTGGGACAAAACAAGGAAGACAGAGGCTGAGACCGCAGAGAAATCCATAGGTTTCTACTATCACGGTATCATGGTCCTCCTATTGTCCATCGATTTGCTCAAGTGGGTCCAGTAACGTCTCCATTTTGATACTTGTTGTTACTGTGTTTGGCATATTGCATACATCACGGGTAGCTTGCCAGGCTTTGCGGTGCAGGCGAGATACTCTCGGTAGCTTGCTGGGCTCTCCAAGAGGGGCGGAAGAATCAAACCCGGCTCGGCCATGCTGGCTGTGTGCAAGGCAAATGCCCTACCACTGTGCTATCTCTCCAGCCCCCTACAATAACAAAAGAGAATATTCTACAGAAATAACAACTACCACTTTCCAGAAACTTGATAGTTATTAAGCTAAAAACAAGAAAATCACCAATGGGACTGAAGCAACAACAGCCAAAAAAACCCCGCAAAACAAAGATATATTGTGGGGGGAAAATACAGTATTCTTTACTATGATGAAGTAGTATTTCATTTGAACACTTCTCATCAAGAGATAAACCAACACTAATGCTACTCCCTATACTACTAGTAAATATATTTAGCAAAAGCCTATAACTACTTCAGTAAGTGTACAGAAGTCTACTTACACATCTTACACATATTCTGAATATAATCAAAATTCTTAAGTAAAAGTGAAACTGAGCCTAAAAGACAAAGTTCAAGTCAAACACCTCCTGCATGTGAGGTTCCTACTATCTATATTAAAAATGAGTCAGAAAGAGAGAAACAGACAAAGAAGGACTGCACTCATTTGTGGAATATAAAATAATATAACATGAGACTGACACCTGAGGACAGTAGATACAAGGGCCAGGAATATTGTTTCATAGTTGGAAGCCTGCCCCATGAGCTCGGGCGAAGGCAGCTGGGATAGAGAAGGGACCACTAAGCCAATGATGGTTGGAGGGATCATTCGGGATGGGAGATAAAAGCTGAAAGTAGATAAAGGACCAAACGTGATAGCCTCTCAGTATTGCAAATCATAATGCCCCGAAGTAGAGAGAGAGCAGAGGGAAAATTGTCCGGCAGAGAGGCAGGGGGAGGGTTAGAAAGGGGGGAGGGGCATACCGGGGACATTGGTGGTGGAAAATGTGCACTGGTTGAGGGATGGGTGTTCATTCACTGTATGACTGAAAGCTTTGTAACTGTATCTCCTGCTGATTCAATAAAAAAATGGGTGAAATGACTTATATATCTATTTTAGGACTTAAAGCAAAGTACAAAAATGAGTTTCTCTGGATCTCAAGACAGCACATTGCCAAACTGTTCCGTTCAACTCATGTGACAGCCGAAATACTATCTCTTCTATCACTGATCCATTTGTTATTGACTTTAGAAGCAATGTCTAGCTTAGAGTGACACTACAGACACTCTCCAGAATATTCAGTGAGAGCTCCTAGAGCAGGACATTCCAGCCTGAAACTTGTCCAGCGGTCTGCTTACAATCTCGGTGCCACTATCCCCAGTGCAACAAACTCCCATAGCAATAACAATCAAACGAATCCGGAAGAAGTTAGTTTGGTTGTTCTTGTTGTTTGTTCTTAGTAATTTACGATACTGATGCGTTTACACTTACAATACAAATCAAATACATTTGCAACGTTATTTACAATACTGTTAACAATAATTAATTCCTTTGAGATAACACAGTCCACAGATATTTCTGCCTCTGGCAAAGGCTGCCCCCTCCAACTCACAGATCTAGGAAGGGTGTTTTTTTAAAACTCAGCTACAAGTTTCTGACAGTTGAGAAGTGGAAATCCCAGAGATTAAAAAAAAACAATAAATAAATGCAAACGTCAGAATCTAACAGATCTGAGCCTTGATACCACCTCTCCAACACTTTCTCAGATTGTACAGGGCACCTGCCTATATAAACAGTTATTGAAGTGTATACAAGGGGGGGAAGGAGAGAGAGAGAGAGAGAGAGAGAGAGAGAGAGAGAGAGAGAGGGAGAGAGAGTTCACTTGATCTCCTGCAAGCCCCGAAGCACTTAGGACCAAAGCCCTCTCGCCTGTTCCAGTCTGGGCGCGAGTAAACGTCCTCTGCTCCTATTTCAATCTTCCAGGCGTTTCTCCCCAAAGCCCGGACACACGCAGCATCCCTTGAGCATCCCTTGCCTATGGCCTCGCGCTCTTCCTTTTTCTCCACCGCTCAGGCTCAGCTGGACTCCGAGGGAGCCCAGCTGGCACAGCGCGCTCCCCGCCTAGGAGGGTGCAGCGCAGCCGGGGGTTCCCGGGGTTGTGGCTTTCCCTCGCGGGAAACTTCAGCGGCCCCCGCCGCGGAGAGGCAAAGGCCATCAACACAGGGGGTGGCAGGGGCCGTGGCGGGTTCCCAGGCCGTGGCCACAGGGAGAAAGGGTTGCACGGGACCCATGCGTGCCTCACCCACGTGGAGGAAGGGGGCAAGGAAGAGCGGGAGGTGCCCTCGGCTCTCGGGCATCCCCTTTCCTGGTGGGGTAACTGGAGGCAGCTGCCCGCCCGACGCCCCTAGCCGGAGTGCGGCGAGACAAGAGTCCAGGGTCGCACGCCTGGAGAGGGGGCCGCGGGGCCAAGAAGCCGAGCCTGACGCCTGCCGGGGACCGTGCCCCGTGCCCGAGAAGGGCTCTCAGCCTCCGACCACGAAGGAAGCGGAGTAGGGCTTTCCAGCAGGCCCCTGGGTGGGTTCCTGGTCCTGGCCACCCACGCCCACCCGCAGAAGGTCCCCCCCGCTGCGCACACACACACGCCAGCGTCCACGGCTCCGAGCCGCCCGCACCTGGATGTAGCAGGAGATCTCGGAATCGTCCAGCAGCCGGATGGTGCATTTCATCTCCTGGTGGAGCGATTTGATGCTGGAGCTCCGAAAGTGGATCATCTTCATGGTCCGCCCGCCTCTCGACACACAGCGGCAGGAGGCGAACATGCACCGCGGCCCGGGGACGAGCGGGCGGCTCGGGCGGCGCCACACGCACGTCGGCCGGCGCGCACCGTCCCGAGCCCGCGCAGCTCAGACCCGGCGCGGCGGCGGCCACCGGCGCCAGCGGCCACACATGCCGGGGGCAGGGCGCGGCGGGCCGGGGCGGCGGGCGCGGCTCCTCCCGGAGCTCCTCCCCCCGGTGCGCCTCCCCGCGCCCCTCCCCTGCGCGCCTCCCGGGCGGCTCCTCTGCTCGCTCTCCTCCCCGCCTGGCCGCCGCCTCCCCGGCCAGCCGCACCTCCTCGGCACTGGGCGCGGCCGGGAGACCCCCCACCCCACCCCCGGGGGCGCGCAGAGCAGGGGACCGAGGCCGCGGGCGGGGATGCCTGGCGCTCCGCACGGGCCTGCGCGCGCCGCCGGGCCGGCCGCTCCTGCACCCGCTGCTGCTGGGCCCTCGGGGTCGCGCGGGAGCACCCGGTGGCCTCGGGGCCGTGCGAGCAGCGCGGGTCGGCCCTGCGCGGAGATGCTGGACCTCTGGCGAAGCCTCCGGAGGCCCCGAGCGCCGGGGAGCCCACCCCGGGCACAGCGCTCCAGGAACTGCCTCGGAGGGTGACGGGCGTGCCCCCGACTCCCCCCTGAAGCTTTCTTTCATTTCATGGGCAGAGAGGAGGGGTCTCCGCCGCCCGGGAAGGCCGGGCCTTTCTCCGGAGCCTCCCGGCTCGGTTTCTGCCCGCAGTGCTTTGGGTGCGCGCTAGAGGGACCCGGAGAAGGCGCCCGCCGGCCCCCAGCCCTCGCCCCCGCCGGCCCCAGCCCGGACTGTCCAGGATGCGACAGGCTTGGGTCAGCCTGGGGGCGGGGGCTGCGGAACCTGCTGTCTGCTGACCGGCGCCAGGTGTGAGGGACACGGATTGTCCAGCCCTGAAGACGCCCTGGGGTGCAGCACCCAGCGGCCGCGGCCGAACGTGGAGGGCTCTGGGAAGAGGTAGGGTGCCAGGCCCAGGAGTGGAGAGCTGAGGGGGGGGGGGGGTCCCCGCGCCGAACAGGTGGTTCGTGAGAAGCATCGCTAGGACTCCTTGCCCGCTGCCGGCCCTGCGGCAGCTGCTCAGAGCCCACCTGTGAGGCTCGCCCTGCCCTGAAGTCCAGCGGATAGGCCCGACCCTCATGCTTAGATGTTCTGGGTCCCAGGACTCAGGTGGCAGGACCTTTTCTCTGCTCCCGATTCCTCCCCCGCTCAGCATCTGCTTCTGTAATCCCGCGTTGCGGCGATTTTTCCAGGCAGAATAGAGTTTATGTAAGAGAGCCTGAGAGTTATTTTTCAGTATTTTGATTATAGGATTGGGCTCTCTATGGTCCACTCGTCCTGGACAGAGGTCTGGGGAGGAGATGCAGATCTGATCAACGGCACAGCTATTGATCATCTGTACAGCTATTGACACATCTATGGTCATGGAATCTCACTCTCTTCCCGGCTTCCGTGGCGAGCCCCTCTCTGTTCTGTAGCTGAGACGCTGGAATGAGAGGGGCCAGTGGAGAGTCAGACCCAGGAGGCACTGCTGGCCTGACCCCTACAGTGTGGAAACTGCCCCAGGAATAGTGTCATCTCTCCCAACCCACGAGCAAACCTTAAATAATCTAGAGCAGGGACTGTATGCCTCCTCAGGGCGCCTCCCATGGGTCACAAGTGAAAACTGCATGAATGGGGGACATCGCACAAGAACAGGTGAGAAGCCAATATGACAGGTGGCCGAGTCGGAGGAAACAAGGTTGGGGGAACACGCTTTCAGAACGGGGTTGAGAAGCATTGATCTGGAGATAAAAATAAATCACCACCCAGCAATAAAACCTTCCTTTTCTGAATTTTTTAAATGTTTATTGAGATTCTGTGGTTTACAATACTGATAATAATGGATTCTCGTGCACAAAATTCCAGCGCCGCACCCATCACCAGTGTACCTTCTCCCTCTCCAAAAGACCCCAAGACCGTCCCCTACAAGCCCCCTGACTCCCAATCAATCGTGTGGATCAGTTCTCCCATTATGTTGCTGTAGGCCTTTGTTGCTACCATATATATATATGTATATTTATACATATATGTATATATGTGTGTGTATAATTAAATTACCTGTGATATATGCAATTCCCACCCCCAATGACCAGTGTACCCAATTTCCCTCCTTCCACCCAACCCCACCCTCAGTCAGCCCCTATAGCAAACACTTTTCTTCTCTCTCTCTCTCTCTCTCTCTCTCTCTCTCTCTCTCTCTCTCTCTCTCTCTCTCTCTCCTTTTGGTCATTATGATTTGCAGTACAAGTACTGCAAGGTTATCATATATACCTCTTTGCTTACTTTAGCACTCGACTCTTGTCCAGAGCAACCATTTCCAACTACCATTGTCATACTGGTCTCTTCTGTATCCTAATTGTCTTCTTCCCCTTTCTCCCCATGTGTGACAAGCTTCCAGCCATGGGCCAGTCCTCCTGGCATTCATTTCAGTTGTCTATGGGTAATAGTCTCATATGTGTTTTTATGTCTCCAAAATGAGTGCAGTTTTTCTGTGTCTGTCCCTCTCCTTCTGACTCATTTCACTTGGCTTGATACTTTCTATGTCCATCCGTTTAAAAGCAAATTTCATGACTTCATTTTTTACTAACAACTGCATAGTATGCCATTGTGTAGATATACCATAGTTTCTTTATCCGGTCATCTGTTCTCAGGCATTTGGGTTGTTTCCAGATTCCTCCACTCTATCTTTAAGTCCGACATATAAAAGGGATCACACTCCATCTGTCCCATTAAGTCTGACTGATTTCACTCAGCATGATATCCTCTAGTTCCATCCATGTCAAAAATAATAATGAGTTCGTGGCCAGGGGAAATGGATTAGGAGGACCGGTCAATGGTTGGAACTAATTACAAGTGTGTGGGGGGAGGGGACTGTGGGTACATAGGATAGAGAAGAGACCAATCTGACAATAATAGCTGGAAATGATCACACTGGACAAGACCTGAAGGTTAAAAGTGGGTAAAAGGATATTCTTGATAACCTTTCAGTCATTATTGCAAACCACAATGCCAAAAAGGAGAGAGACAGAGAGAGAGAAGAAAAACTCCTGCTATAGAGGTAGGCAGGTGGTGGTGGTGGGTGTCAGGAGGGCACCTGGGGACACTGGTGATGGGAAATATACACTGGTGGAGGAATGGGTGTTGGAATAATGTTTGATTGAAATACAATCATGAACAGCTTTGAAAGGGTCTATCTCATGGTGATTCAATAAAAAAGTTTTTAAAATTCATGATTCTGTTATTTCTTATAGTTGCATAATATTACATTGTGTGTACGTATATATATAATTAAATTACCTGTGAGATATACATTTCCTGAAATTTGTACCTTTATGCTCATTGCAGCACTGTTCACAAGAGCCAGAATCTGGAAACAACCCGAATGCCTGAGAACAGAGGGCTGGTTCAAGAAACTTTGTTACATCTACACAATGGAATAGTATGCTAGGAGAGATGAACTCATGAAATTTGCTTATAAATGGATAGACATGGAGAGTATCATGCTAAGTGAAATGAGTCAGAAAGAGAGGGACAGAAAAGAAGGACTGCACTAATTTGTGGAGTATAAAATAACATAACATGAGACTAACAACCAAGGACAGTAGACACAAGGGCCATAAGATTGTTCCACAGATGGAAGCCTGCCTCTTGGATGGGGGGGGGGGGGGCGGGGAGAGAAGGCAGCTGGAATAGAGAAGGGATCACTAAGAAAATGATGGTTGGAGGGATCGCTCAGGAAGGGAGAGGTGTGCTGAAAGTAGGTAAAGGACCAAACATGATAACAGTATCTGTATTGCAAACCATAATGCCCAAAAGTAGAGAGTATGGGGGAAATTTCCAGTGAGGCAGAGGGAGGGTGGGGAAGGGGGGTATACTGGGGAGATTGGTGGTGCACTGGTGGATGGATGGATGTTTGAACATTGTGTGATTGTAACTCAAACATGAAAACTCTATCTCATGGTGATTCAATTAAAAAAAAAATAGAAAGAGAAAGACACATTTCTCACCACCAATGACCAGTGTACTCAATTTCCCTCCTTCCATCCCACCTCCATTCCCAGTTGGCTCTCTTATACACTTTTCTTCTCTCTCTCTCTCTCTCTCTCTCTCTCTCTCTCTCTCTCTCTCTTTTCTTTTGTCATTATGATATATTCATGTATATATACATATATAGAGAGAGTTGTTTTTGTTTTGGAACTACACTTAGCTGTGTTCAGGGCTTATTTCCAGCTCTGTTTGCACGAATCATTCCCGGAGGTGCTTGGGGATCATATGGGATAGCAGGGATCAAATCCAGATTATTTCCACGCGAGACAAATGCCCTACCCACTGTACTATCACTCCTACCCTACCAACAATTTCTTGATCCATTCATTTGTAGTTGGGTGTTGGGTTGTTTCCATATCTTAGCTATTGTACAAAGTGTGGTGATGAGCTTAAGTGTGCAGATATACTTTCAAATTAATGTGTTTAGAGGAGAGTTAAGAAAAATGGTATTAATGGGTCATATAGGACTTCTATTCCTAAATTTTTTATAGATCTCCATATTACTTTCCAGAGAGGCTGAACCAAATTACATTCACACCAACACTAGATAAGGGCTCCTTTCTCACTACAACCTGGTCAACACTGTCTGTTTCTAGACTTGTGGATATGTGTCATTACACCACCTCCGCTTTGCTGATGACATTGTTTTAATAACACCAAACATCAGCCAAGCGGCACAAATGCTGGCCGACTTTGACCGTGAGTGTGGAAAGGTAGGACTACAGCTGAATCTTACGAAGACAATGTTTATGAGAAATAGCCTTGTTCCTGACGCCCCATTCGCTCTCAATGGAACGACCATCTCCGAATGCAACAGCTATGTGTACCTAGGTCGAGAGGTCAACATGACAAATGACCTGGCACCCGAGCTGCGCAGGAGGAAGAGAGCGGCTTGGAACGCCTTCAAGAACGTCGAAGAAATAGCTAAGAGGACGAAGAACCTCCGGCTCCGGGCACATCTCTTTGATTCCACTGTTCTTCCTGCATTAACATATGCCTCAGAGACCTGGGCCCTACGCAAACAAGATGAGAACGCCATTCAG